CTTTGGCTGGCTGAGGAATTCTGGGAGTTGAAGTCCACAAGTCTTAAAGTTGCCAAGGTTGGACACCCCTGCTTTAAAGCAAAACCGAGAGAGAGGAATATGCCTCCGATGTTCAATGTTTTAAAAAAAGGCTTTTCCCAAGGTGCAACCTTTTCTCCAGTGAGGCTTCCGCTAGATTCTCTGTTTCCTTAGAAGCCTAACGCTTTTCTTTTTAAGGGCTTGTTCCTGCAATAAACCCCCTGCCCCCCCCCACTCTTTTTTTTTTTTTTTTGAGTGAAAACCCTGTCTAGAAATCAATATACAACCCTTGAAAGTCATTTTTAAAACCCAATAATTCCCAAAGCTTGTAATTGAAAAGTCAGTCTCAAGGCCAGGCATTAGCGGCTTATACAGCATGCTAGATAAATCGTCTTAGTTAAGTCCATTTAAAACAGATGAGTTTTTTTTATATAATCCTTTTGAAGATTGGGATTGAGCGGGACAGATCCCTTGACACGGAGTTACACTGGAATTGGAATTAGGGAGTTAGAGACTATTTCATCAAACTGTCAGTAGCATAGGTTTCCCACCCACTCACCCACCCACCCACAGATGGCTCTTCAGCCTCCATTAAATGCCTCCAGCAAAAAAAAACCTCACAATTTTATAGAGGCAGTTTTGTTCTCTTGTTAGTTTTGCTTTGCGGGGCTTGTGGTTCAGTAATCTTAGCCTGCAGTTGTATGATTAAACCAAACAATATTTTCCTTTGATCGCACTGCCAGTTGCACAGGACAGGACAGCCGAGCCCGAGGTTCCCACACAACTCGGGAAGAGACACCTTTTTTTTTTAAAGGAGTCACCCAGACAGGGACCTCATTTGCTCCTGCAGATGCCATGAAGCGCATCTGCCTTTGAAGTGTTGCATTGCCCTTTTCATCCCATTTTTATCAAACGTGCTTTTATTTTTTCCTCCCAGGAACACCACCTGCATAGGCCCTGTGTTTATTTCCAGCACCTCAGCTTTTCCCTCTCCATCACCCTGACTCTTTACAATGCCATTTTTTATTTTTTCTCACCCAAAATTCTTAATTGTTGAAGGAGCCATTCCAAGTAGACTCGGACTCAATGACAAGCTCCCACCAATGGAAATACAATGATACCTTGGTACTTGGCATTAATTGGTTCTGAGAGGTGCAACAAGTACTAAAGAGGACGAGTCCTAAACAAACCACATGACTTACTACCTAACCCATTGTTTTGGCCAGGAAGACCTTTCCGTTTGTCCCTTTTCCTATGTCAGTGACTTTCCCAGCATGGCCAACTTCCTGTCCACCCTCGGTGGCCAACCCCTCCTTTTGCTGTGACCTTCCCAGCATGGTCAGTTCTCCACAGCTGCCCCTCTCTTCCTGTAGCTGCTCATCGAGTACTAAACAAACACCGAGTATTGGGACAACATTTTCCCATCAAAATACCAAATTTGTAGTACCAAATTTTACGAGTTTTGAAGCAATTGAGTACCGAGGTAACACTGTACTGTGATTCGGGGCCCCTGTGTGGCATGTTGGATAAAAGGGACACTATAGAACAGAGCAGTGCGATGCATTAATGGGCAGAGGCAGGAAGACAGTGCTTGTCTGCAGCTCACTATAAGAATTGCCATCCTGTGCTATGTTTGTCCTTAAGATCTCCAAGGCCTCTTTAGTTTTTGACTTGACGGCCACAATAAGATTCAGAGAATCCATCATTCAGCACGGCTGTTGTTAAGTCAGCTGACCACAGCCAATTTTACAGCGTCTTTTGCTGCGGTCATTAGGCAAATCGTTGCAGTTGTTAAGCAAGGCATCCCGTGACTGCAAATGGCAACCTTTCCTGCCAGTTTCCTCCCTTGGTTTGCTTCTTGGAAGCTGGTTGGTCAGGTTGCAAAAGGGAATCACGTGGCCACGGCAATGCTTTAACTATTGTAAGTGCGAGGGTCGGTTGTAAGTCATCTTTTTAGCACTGTTCGCTAAACGAATGGCCGTAAGTTAGGGAGTGCCTGTATTTAAGCATTGAGACGTAGGCCAAATACCTGTTTTCTAACATTTTTGCTCTCTGTATCTGTCTCTCTCTCTCTCTCTGTGTCTTTTTTTTGGTCTCCACCCGCTTCCCCAGCATGACACCTGCCCAGTGTGTCGGAAAAGTTTAAGCGGGCAGAACACAGCCACAAACCCACCTGGACTCTCCGCAATGAATTTTGCTTCCTCCTCGTCATCTTCCTCCTCCTCCTCTTCCTCCAGTTCACCAAGTAACGAAAACTCCGCAAACAACTCATGAATCTTTAAAAAAAAAAACAAGCAAAAAAAAAAACAACCAACCAAACAAACAAACCGTCGCCACTCTCATGCTCTTTTTCTAATGTCATAGCCCTTCCTTGCTCCCCCCACCACCCCACCTCACCAGGGGGAAAATCTGTGGGGTGGGGGATGTCCAGCACAGAGCCGTGGGGAGGGGGCTGGGAACGGGAAATCTCCACACACTTCCCCCGCCCCCCCCACACCTCAACCATCATAACTCCAAGACCCTCTTGACTTCCCGCTCTCTTGCCTCCTGCCCCCGCCCTCTGCCCCCCCACCCTCGACGTTTGGTGTTCAATCTTGCATTCTCTCAAGGGACAATGCGGGGGAGGGGGGTATGGGTGGTGGTGGGGGGAAAGAGCCTCTAAACTTGTGCTGCTGTGCAGACTCTTTAAAACCCGGCCCGACTGCGCTGTGTGACGAGCGGCAGGGAGTCGAAACGCGAAACAAGCACTGGATTTAAGGGAGACCGGAGTTCCAAAGGGGCGTTCCAAAAACGGATTGTCTATCCCTTTCTCTTTGTTCTTTTTTTTTTTTTAAATATCATTTTGACAGGTGTTTGTTTTCCCCCCCCCCCCTCCCCCCCCCCCCCCATCACTTCCCATCCTGGCGTCAGCACTCTTTAAGAACCGACGGACAGCACCGACCCTCCTCGGAAGTAGAAACGTAACAAGAGATCCTTCTTCCCTCTTCTCCCCTCTTTTCCTCTCTGGATTTTCTGCTGCTGGGGGAGCTCGCGAGGCTCTTTCCTTAGGCACCAGCAACACAGGCCGGTGGGGGGGGTGGGGGGGTTGAGGAAGAGGAGGAGGAGGGGGAGCAGCGGGGAGGAATTTAACCATCGGAGCCACTTCCTGACTCTGCACAGATTCTTCCTCCCTCCCTCCCGCTCCCACCCTCCCCTGTTACTAACACCGCCCTTTTTGACAAAGTCGATACCGAGAAAGGGGTTTTTATAATTTTAAATTATTACTGCTGTTAAAAATAAATGGACATTTCAGCTCTATAGCCTGTGATGCATCTGGGTTTGTGCCTTCAGGAGAAGATGAGATGAAGCGAAAGGCGCTTCTTGTGTGATGGAATACTTTGGGGGGGGGGGGGGGGGGGGGCGGGGGGCTCTCAAAAAAAAAATAAGAGAGTGGGGAAAACCTGGGAAGTAACTAGAGCGGTTGGCAAACTAAGATGTGGAAAGAAATCTTGGAAAGAAGTAAGCAGTGGCCGATTCACTTCCTGGTTCTTTCTAAGAAATCAGCATTTTTCGGGTCTGTGAAGTCCCGGGCTCGTCCTTCCCCCAAAGGGCTCTTTTGTTACCCTCTGCAAATGAAAAGTCCCATCTATCATTGCGTCGGAAGCCATTCAGTTGTTCCGTGCGAGGGGTCCTTGACTTACGACCGCAATTTGACTCCCAAATGTTTTGTGGCTAAGCAAGAAAGCTGTTAAGTGAGCGTCGCCCCCGTTTTGCAACCTTCCTTGCCGCTGTTGTTCATGTGAATCAGTGTGGTGGTGAAGTTAGTTAACACGTTCATTCGGTGGAGCCAGCTTCCCTGTGGACTTTGCTTGTCAGAAGGCCGCAAAAGGGGATCGCCTGACCCCGGGACACGGCAACCGTCATAAGTATGAACCAGTTGCCAAGCACCTGAATTTTGATCACATAACCACGGGGGGGGGGGGGGGGCATTGCAGGGGTTGTAAATGTGAAAAAATGATCATAAGTCACTTTTTGATCAGGGCCGTTGTGACTTTGAACAGTAACTAAACGAATGCCTGTAAGTCAAGGACTACCTGTACAAATCTGAGGGATGCTGCTGTGGTTGTCTGTTCCACGCCTCTTTGTGTCCGTTTGGGTTGTTTCAAGCTATGCCTGCAAGAGGAGGATCTGTTACAAAAGTGGGCTTGTACCTTGTAAAGGCCTGCCTTGCCAACAAAGCACCCACCCAGCAGCGCTGGTCATCGGAGGGCACCGTTGGACCGCAGCCGCGTTAAGGGAGAAGGCGGACAAGCCAGGACAAACCGTAAGCAGAGTCTAACCTCGATTGGTTCAGGCCGCTGTTTTTCCACCCTTGGGCAGAAGGCTTTTGCGGGAAGAGTCCACAATCCCCTGTCCGCAACTTAATAGGTAGAAAATGGGAAATGGCTCCTCTATTTCTGTGGTCTTCCCTCCCAGCCTTACCCAGATCATTACCAGCAACCATTAAAGGTGTAAAGGTTTTCCCTGTCCAATCGTGTTCGACTCTAGGAGGACAGTGGTTATCTCTTGTTTCCTAGCCAAGGAGCCAACGTTGTCTGAAGAGGCTTCCATGGTCATGTGGCCGGCATTACTGTACACCGAGGCACACAGGATGCTGTTACCTTCCTGCCAAAATGGTACCTATTTATCTACTTGCATTGGCATGCCTTTTAACTGCTAGGTTGGCAGGAGCTGGGGCAAGAACGGGAGCTTAACCCGCCACGCAGTGCTTGGGTCTCAAACTGCTAACCTGGTCAGCAAGCCCAGCGCCTTAACCACTAGACCGCCGTGTCCCCTTACCAGCAACAGATTTAATTAGAAACCAGATCTTTGCACAGAGCCTCCACGGGGCTTTCTACCCCTCCCTGCAAGCCCAACCTAGAATAAAACATTTGGCCCCTTTCCACTCTGAACAGGAATGCTTTGACAGCAGTCGGGGGCTGCAAAAAAGGAAGCCTGGCCCTGACTGAAGATAAAAGGCCTGGCATGAGAAATTTAAGTTAAAGGAAAGTTTACCACTCTCAGAATAGGTTTTTCCAGTCATCCCAGAGCCCCTACTTTGGACACCGGCAGGTTCTATGGCTGCAAAAGGCCCCATCCTTGGCGGGATGCTTTTTGCATGGCAACCAGTAGGTGGCAGCAAGGATCCATATCATTCTGATTTCTCTGAAGCCATTCCCCTTTTATCTCCAGTGAGGAGAGGAAGGGAGGACTTCTAACAATTATGGAATTAATTCCATAATTAATTCAGGAGGGCCCCTGTTTTCAGGATTTAGCCATCCAATGGGGGAATACGTAGTTGGGGCTTCTGCAAGGAGAAAGGGTATGGCTGTGGTCATCTTAAGGGTAGTTTGTTCTAGAATTGGGCTGTTAAGCAGTTTGCCTTTAAAAATCTATCATAAGGGCTATTTGGAGGTATCTTGTGGCCATTTTCTAACACTTGGAGATGTGAAGCTAGTTCCAGCCTCTTTCAGAAAAGTTGTTGATGGTCTGTCATCTAAAAAGCAAGCAAATGATCTCTGGAATCTATTCAATCTATTCCACTTTTCAGGAGTTGTCCCATCCCATGTATTTAAAATGCTAAACTTCTATTACATTTATGGAGATTCTCAGTCATCCAGTCCTAGTTGTCCCAAAGGTGCTTTTTTCAAGAGGCAACTGGACTTTCTGGTTTTTCTTTAACGATGTTTTGCTTCTCATCCAAGAAGCTTCTTCAGCTCTGTCTGGATGGTGGGGAAATAGAAGGATTTATACTCTTTGCAGGCAGCTGGTCATTTGCATTATTTTAGCCAGTCATTAAGACCACCTGGAGATTTATCTACGTCCTCAGGGTCACCTGAGGGGCGCAAAGGGTTACAATATCATCTATCTCCAGTCTACAGTACAACACAGTCCTTTCAGCAGTTTCAAGAAGACTCCACACCCATTTGCACTACTCAGGTGACCCTGACGACACAGATAAACCTCCAGGTGGCCTTAACAAATTGCTAGAAGACTGCAAATGACCAACTGTCTGCAAGGAATATAAATCCTTCCATTCCCTACCATCCAGTCAGAATTCAAGAAGCTTCTTGGTTGGGAAGCAAAATGTCTTCCCAACCAAAAAACAAAAAGTCCAGTTGTCTCTTGAAAAAGCACCTTTGGGTTCTCCCATTACATGAATCAGTGCATCAGATCTGGGATAGGCACTCCAGTATCTTCCCCTTCTTTGGGGTTGCAACTCAATCTCAGCAAGACCAATAATCGGGGATTATGGCAATTGTGAATCAACATAGTAGAATAATTGAGGTGTTGGGTTGGATCAAGTCTTAAGTCTGCCATGAAACTTCATTGGACGAAGTTATCTAGTTGCTGTCTCTCCGTTAACTGTGTCTTACAGGGTGGTGTTTGTGTGGTAAACACAACTTCTTTTGAGATGTGTGGATTTCTAGGCTGGAGAATTCTGGAAATTGACGTCTACCCATTTTGAAGGTGCCAAGTTGGGAAAGGTTAACCTAGAGGGAGAAATGTTCTCATCCCAAGCTTTGAGATCCTGGAGGAAATGTTGGGAATAAATTTAAGGAGTATATAATGAAGGATGCAAAATATCCACAGGATAGTTATTTGACTGCCACTGGCCCAGGTGGTAGAAGTTCCATCAATTGATCAAACCATGTTATCACCAACATTTAGTTGAGCCTGGATTAAGAGAGGGCTCCCTTGTTGGTAATGTGACTACTGTAGTTGGGCAGTGACTACAGGGCAGGAGTGGCCAGTAAACCAGGAGACTGGTGACTTTCAGAAGTTCTGTTCAGTGGATAACAGATCTCAGACCGTGTTGGGCTCTAGAAATTAGATGGGGGAGAACTGATATAATATTAATCCGCCCTGTTGCATAGGGGCTACCCTTGATACTTTGGCAGGGTTGGTGGTGGAATGCATCAGATGTAATGAAGTTGCCTTTTGGGGGGCCATAGAATCAGTGGTGCCTCGAAAGTTCATGGCCAGTAGGGCAGCCAAAACTCACTTAACAACTGTCTTGCTTAGCAGTGGAAATTTTGGGCTCAATTGAGGTTGTAAATCAAAGACTTATCTGTATTATCTAGGAAGTGTTTGAACCTGGTGGTCCCAAAGAAGTGGAGAAGGTCTCCAAATTGTGAACTTAGCCATATGTACTGTATTTTTTGCACTATAAGATGCACTCCCCTCCCTCCCCCCACCCCAAAGTGGGTGGAAATATCTGTGTGTCTTACAGAGCGAATGTTGCTGAAGCCCCACCTATCTTTCAGCCCTCACCCTTCAGCCTCTGCCTCCCAGCAAACAGCCTGGTCAGCTTCAGCACAGCCTGAGTTAGCACTACTAGCAGCTGATTGGCGGTTGGAGGTACCTCCTGACAATCAGCTGTTTCAGGCTGCAGAGATTGCCGCCCATTGCCAGCTACTGCTGCCTCCACACGCTCCATTTTTGGCCTCCATGCATCCTGTTTACAGCCCGTTCCAGGTGGCGGGGATCGCCGGTGCCTCTATTGCTGCCGATCCCCACCGCCTGAAATGGGCTGAAAACCGCACATGCGGGGGCCAAAAACGGGTGTACGGAGGCCAAAAACTGGATGCGCAGAGGCTGAAAATAAGGTGTCTTCCACAATCTGGGCAAAAGACTAATGAATCCTCTTTTAGGAATCTGATAGGCTGGAAGGCAGGTGGGAAGGTAAGAACTGTGCAGAATGGAGGACACGGAGAAGATTTCTGGACTGTGGCCCTACCGGTTCTGTCTGTGGGGCAGAAGGAGAGGCTCTAGGCTTGGTGTCTCAAACAGTTGGGCACAACCACCT